CAGCTGAAAGCCCGAAAATGGCACCACACAGGATAAATAAATCTACATGACAACGGGCACAAACATACAGAATAAATCATAGCAGCAGCAGCGGGCAGCAGCTGCGGCGGGAGCAGGCTTTCGCGCAAGAGGGCACGTCATCTAGCTGCGCCTGAGACCTTCTTGACAAATGTGGGGGACAGATTATTGTCGCGCCAAGAGCCGCAGTGAAGCGCCGTGGGCTGTGAGGCAGATGCATGCGCGTCAACCTGTTGTAGAGGCGGAGGAACCTCGCCGGCAGATTATTCTGAAAAAACAAGGCACACATGGGCGGTGTGCAAGCGAGGGCAATATTTCGCGAAACAAACAACAAAACAAGCGCGCGGTGCGCTCTCTCTCTCTCTCTCTCACCCGTTGCCCGCTCGAAGGGTTGTCAAACACCAGCACCTCGCTGTCCCCTGCCGAACCCTCGCAGCTGCAGCTGGTGCAATCCAGCTCGACCACGCCCCCGTCAGTGTATTGCCCGCTGACAGCAGTCGCAGCCAACAACAAAAAAAGCTGGAAACACACCAGCCCCGCAGCGATCCTGCTGCTGCTGCTGGCTCCCCCTCTTCTTGTTCTCCGCCGCCGCCCCCGCCGCCGATGCAATAGAGGGGGCTCTCGCCGTGCCTCGGGGGCTTCTCCTGGCGGTCTCTTCTCTCGTCTTCGCTTCCCGCTGGCGGTTGGCATGGCCGCTGGTGTGTGTTACAAAACCACGTCTCAAAGACAACACCACACCCCGCTATCCTCCAGCACTTTCTCTCCCTCTCTCGCGGAAAAAATACAGAAGCGCGCGCTGTGCCGGAGATCCCGTACCACGTGCAGAATACGCGGCGTGGAGGTAACCGATTTATCCACCCCGCAGGCCACGCGTAGGTCCTCTCTCTCTCTTCTCTTCGTCGCGTACAAATGATACCGGTCCTCCTCTTGTGTGGTTTAGCAGCTTGGGTCTGTATGATCGAATGAAGGACGGATTGCAGGATGCGGCGCAATAGATATTCCGGGCCGTTCTTCCACCACGGTCCGGCCAATTCGTCTGTCTGTCTGTGGAGTCCGTAGATCCATCGGTGGCATGGTGTAGATCCATCTTAGCAGGAACACGAAGAAGCAGCAGTGACACACAGCAGCAGGTGCCAGAAAAAACTCCCGTGCTCGTCACACAGGATCGTCCATGATAAACTCCCGCGGCGCAACCAGGAGCGTGTTGATCGTGCTGCCGTTTCTTTCAATGCAGACATATACATACAGCAAGCAGCAGTATTCTAGGCGTGGCTATAGTATGTGGGCGGAGCAAGTAGCAGGAAGGAAGGGCTAAAAAATGCGTGTGTGTACAAATGGGCGTGACGCTACTACAGCAGTACTACGCGTATGTATGTATTCATATGTCATCTGAATGTGTTTGACTAACTTCAGACTATCATCCACATCATCTAGAAAGACTACAACCCGTTCGAAATTCAAATACCCCGTTCATTGTTGACCCACCTTTCTCTTTCTTCGCATGACCCCAGCCAGCCAGGCGGATGATGATACGAGTATTATAGTACTGCTGCTGTGTACTCAAATCACACTCAAGAACCGGTGGGAGTTCAATTGAGGCTCGGTGACATCGAACCTTCACGTGACAACAAGTGATCACTACTACGACTTTCACACTAAAACCTAATGACGAAAGCATGGGCTGACAATATTTTTTTACAGTAGAATTTGGGATGATGCCGCCCTACATCATCAACAACAGCCAGTGTCGTATAATAGCAAGAATCGAGCGAGACTCGGGCAGAATAAGAAGGAAGAAAATGAGATAGTGAGCGGTCGCGCCTTCTTGTTTGTGTAGTAAGCCGAATGAACGAGAAAAAAAAATAGATTGGCGCCAGAAAAAAAATGAGACGAAAGCAAGCGACGACAAGAAAGGCATACTAACATGACGTGTCGTCCGTTCGGCGGCAGGCAGGTATGGAATAACATATATATATGTAGATGCCGCCACTCCTCGATCTCTATCGCAAAATGACGGTTCTCACATTAATTTTCATCCGCAGCACTACAACAAGCTGGCACGAAGGCAAAAAAAAAAAGTGTTGTAAGCAAGCATAGACAACGACTACAATTGTACAATTTCTTGACTAAAAAAAGGTGGCAGCGAGGGGTGGGCAGGGGTGGGTGGGTGATGGGTGTGTCCAAAGGAGAAGAAGAAGCGGTCTTCCTACATACATACATACATACACATACCTGGCACTTGGAAATAAATTGAGGACCTCACACACCTGAGACCATTACACGTGAGGCACCTGCTTCTTCTCTCCATCCCTTCTTCCTCTACCACATACTATGCAACATCGTCCTGATTGTTGCTGCTGCTGTCAGAACGTTGAACAAACGAACCGCAGTAGAAGTACACAAATTGTTTTGTTCGGCAGCTAGCGGTGCACAGCCGTTCTTCTTCCGTCTAAGGAAAGGAACGACACCGGGCTTGATCTTACCGAGAGGATGGTCTCGTACAACCAACCCAACCGAGCTTGGCTTCTCTCGAACAAGCGCCTGCAGCTTTTTGCCCGCCACCGCATATATATCCGCACCGCCGGCTCGCTCGACATCGACTGCCGGACTTTGGCGCACACCCGGGATGGTTTGCAATGTACAACGTTCATGTAGATCCCCTACTTTCACAGCCCGCTTACAGAACAACGGTCGACGGTACACGAAGGAAAGGCGTCCTACATACCACACCCACAGCAGTAGGCATGCCTTACCCGCGGCGTAACGCACCAACTAACACGTGTTTCACAATTAGCCTCGTGGCACAACTCGCAACAAGAACAGACTTAAAGGTTTAGTCTATTAAAATACCCGGCGAGACAAAATAACATAAAGCTCGTCTTTGTTTTGAGCAAGATTCATAAGAACGAGTCGCACGTCGACAAACGCGGACGGCAAGAGTGCCACGCTCAAAGAGAGACTGTTCGATACAGCTACTATTTGATACTTCGTACAGCATATTTGGGGGAGTACAGCGTGCTATGAAAAGCGAAAGCTCCTCAATATCCAGTCCGTCCAAGAACTAACAACGAAGGGTGAGTTCTCTCATCAACACGTCCGTCCGCCCATTTACCTCGCTTAAAACTCAGACAAAGGCGCCAAGCTTGCGTATGTACCACTTGCTAGTCTCGTTGTGACGAAGGTCGCAACACACGCTGGGGTCGGCTTCGTCTAAAACAACAACGGCCCTCCCAAGTACCTAATTTCTGCCCACAAAACACCTCCATCAAACAAACTTCTCGAGAACCCGCCGCAACAGCAAAGACCAAAAAAAGCTACTACAACCTTAAATATGACTCTGCGTCTCTACGTGCAGACGAACGCTGTTCGGTTACTTTCGGAGCGGCAGTGGTGTCCACGGGGTGGTGACGCTACACGGTCGTTGGCGATGGGCCCTTGCGAGAAGCAGCATCGGAACTATCGACAACGACGACAACAACAACGGCAACAGCAACAGCAACAGCAACCAATCCACGCACAACACACATCCTACCGTTACACGCGAAAATATGACGCGAGACGCGGGTGCTGGAGCTTCCACACTACTGATAAAAAAAAAAAAGCCACCGCGCCCAGCACGCCCTCGTCTCAAGAACTACATCCGTAGTACAAGCAGGTATGACAGCAAGAATCAAACCCGGAACATACTTGCACACCTACAGCAGTACCACGTCGAACAAAATGCCGCAATTCTAAATCAACACCCAACACAACCACAAACACGGGGCCCCGTGATATACAAGGCGCCCTGACCGTTTTTATTACCCCCGCCTGTAGACTTGCGTCGTTGTTACTCGTCAGCTGGTACAGCGCGGTCCATGAAAACCAAACAAGCACGCGCGCACAGCGGCCCCGTGTGTTCGGCTCCCCCCCCCCCCCCCCCATGCCAAAAAAGGGGGGTTTCCCCCCCCCAAGGGGTTTCCTTCCGTCCGGCCAAAAAAATACCTTTCTTACAAAGCGACCGGGCAATTTTTACCGAAAAGCCGGGTACAAACACACCCCAAAAACACCAATGTG